CAATTTTTTCTACTCGTGACTAAAAATAGTGCCACATTTTAGGTGTTCTGATTGCTTTCCTCACTTCATTTTTATTCCTGTTTCTAATTCAGACTCAGTGTTCCCCTCACCCTTGCTGAAAGCAAAGAGCAGTGCTTGGAGGGGACCGAGGGATGTATGGTTATTGCACACATTGGCCACTCTTCCTAATGAAAGGCGCAGGGCTCTGAGCAGGAGCGATTGCAGGGGAACTGCCTGCAGAGAGCATCCCTGATTTGTACAATAAAGGGCAGAAGACATCGTGTTCCCAGCCTGTATTCTTGTCCTGTATCTGCTCACATCTGTGCTTTGCAAGTGCAAGCACTAAGTAAGGCCGCGAAGTAAAGCCGCCTGCACACGTCTTCCCAGCAGCACGAGCTGTAACCAAATGGCACAAACATCTCTCGTGCCAGGAAGGTGTGGGCTCTGCTGCAGCAACCCACCGAACACCCATGGCTTCCTGGGATCCCAGGTGCTCAGCGCTGTGCTGGCGTTATGCCGCAGGAGGTAGCAGCATCCTCTGCACGTGGCCACGCTGAGACAGGTGGGAAGGAGCACCGGGCAGCTTTCAAGAGCAGCTGAATTAAAAGTCTCAGTGTAAGTCTCCAGTTTTCTCATCTTTCAAACTGAAAAGGAGTTCAAGAACTTTTCATCACAGTGCTGAACATAAATTACCATCATTTTTCTGTTATGTAACATGATTCATGCAAAGCATGCACTGGGCTTATTCCAGTTTCCACTGAAGTCAATAGAAGTGTTCAGCACCTCTGAAGAAACAGGACATGCTTATTCATGGGTATAATTTATGGTACTCAAATTAGATCATTGTCCTTAAGTTACCAGTGCAGAAAAGAGTGATTTCTTCTTCTTTCCTTTCTGTAAGGATAATAATGGGTCGACACTGGAATTTACTCTCAGATCCTCAGTGAAATGCCTAGGACTAGTCATACTTCCAACAAACCATAACACAAAATATTTGAAATAGTAGCTCCCAAAATCCCTTCCAGTCATCCATTAGGTCAAATCAGCTCCAGGATCACTGCCTATGTGAGCCCTCACCTCCAGGATGTGTCACAGAGGAGTAACTAACACAGAGATTTTCCAGTACAAACATATTAAAAGTTATGCATGAGTAAAAGCCATCTTCTGGAAAGGACAACTGGAAAGCCAAACCAGAAATCCATGAGTTAAAGCAACAGATTAGAGAGTCTTCTTACTGACAGATCTGCTCATCCTGATAGTTACTGCCTCAATTCACCATCCCTTCTTTAGGCACCTGGCAGCAGTTTGTGGCCTGATGGCCCTGTATGTTGAGCATCCCCGTAAACTGCAAAGATACCCCTTGAGTCCTTGCACCTCCCCACCTCACCTGGGCACAGCTGCATCTCCCCGGACATCTCCTGTGGAAGGAAGCACTAATGAGGTGGGAGTAAAACAACAGCCTTTGATCAGTGGTGCTTGTAGAGCAAGCAGAGGAAGTCCTTTTTCTCATTCTGGACAGCTGAGCAAGAGCCTTTCCCACCCAGCCACTACAGAGCTTCCTCAGCTTTTCATAGGTGTTGTGCTTTGTAGAGCAGCGAGGTTCCAGGTCAGTCCTGCTGGCCAGAGAAGGCTTCACCCTCTCTGAGTGCAGGGATAGAGGAGTTAAATACAACCCTTGGGCTGGGAATACATCAGAACCAGCAGGAAGATTGTATTTTCCATGCACCACATGAACAGATCTTGTTTTTATCTAGTCCCCCAGGCCCCACGCAGAGATGGGCAGATGGATCCCGCCAATCACTTGATGCCACAGTTGCCCCACACAAATGTGCTAGAAGGAAAACTTGCAGCACTCTGAACAAGGCTATTATAGGAGTCCAGAAACAACAGCTTGTGTGTTCGCATTTCTACTCCAAGTTTCAGACTGCTTCAGAAAACAGAAGGCCAATCTAATCTAATCCAATCTAATCTAATCTAGTCTAACCTAATCTAATCATCTAACCCTCTTGATTTCGAATCCTCTGGAGGAAGGCTGCCCACCGTGCTGCAGGACAGAGCCTTGTGGGCTGCTGCCTCTCCAGGCTCTGAAAACCAAGGGCCTTGCATCTGAACCAACAGCGTAAGCCAGTGGCACAAAGCACAGCTGGCACAGAATGTAGAGTAGCTAAAAAGCCAAAAGCAGCAAGTTTTGCAATTGCAGCATTTACACTAAAAAAATCAGGCTAGTGGAAGTACTATCAGGCTAGTAGAATAAACTCTAATCTTTTACCAGTTTCTAAACATGTAAATCCAAAACTGCCTAAACTTCATAACGTATGTATGTCACCTGGTGGAAAAGGACCTGAGAACAATCATCCTGATGTCATTTCTTTCCTTCAATTAAAAATAATTGGTAAATAATAAACAATCTGCATCTTGGTGTACAAAGGCACGTACAGAATGGGATGAAGAGGTGTGAGGCTCCTGGAGGAGCACTTCCTCAAGGAACAGGCTGTTTCTGAAATGATTTCAAGAAACGTGTAGATCTGGCAATTAGGGTAATGGTCAGTGGGGATGGTGGTCATAGGTTGGCAACTGGGCTTGATGATCCTAGATGTCTTTTCCAACCTTAGTGATTCTGTGATTCCAATACCACCCATTCTCTGTACGTTTTGCTCCATGCCCTCCAGCGTCAGTCCCCTCTGCTCGCTGAAGAAGTCTTCGCTCCTTCCTTCCCAGCTCCACGCTCCACTTGTTAACAAATCTGTCTCTCCACCAGGGACAGATTGCCAACTAAATGCTTTATTCCTGGATTTTAATGGCTCCATATTTTATCTTCAAGTTCTGTTCTGTGAAGGATCGTGTTCTACAAGCTGCCTCCAACTTCCAGGTGAAAACACAGTTTACGCAGAGTTTAGCCTGACTCAAGATAAACCTCTGTTCCTTGGCCACACACATTTGCTGCTTCATCTCTCAGGGGGGCACGGAGCAGACTCCGTACTCAGAATTGTCAGCATGTCCAGGCTACTAACATGGGACATTTATCTCTTAGGGGAGCAGTACAGACGTGCAGAGAGCTTCCTTTTGCACCTCATTTTGCATCTGTACATACACAACACTTCTGAATTATTATTTTTAATCCACAGCCGTGCAGTACTGCACTGATACAAGCACCCCAGAAGAGCGTTGGTCAGTTTTCCACGCCAACAAAACAACCAAAGGTGTAAAAGAGAATAATCCAAGAAAATGTGATTGCTTAAGCAGGACAACTTTCCGAAGAGCAATCAAATCAAGTTCTTGTGGAAGTGAATCTTTGTGAGCCCTCTGCAAGTTGCTATAAAGCAATACATGTTAGCTGGTTCAGTCACCCCCCTTCCAGGAACAACTCTCCCCTCCAGCCAAGCAACACACAACTAAAAGCACCTTCCCAGATGGAAAATTTCTAGGCTAGAAATAAGTTGCCAAACCTTGAACAAAAGTTTTGTGAGTAATGTCTGAGCCAGGATTGTTTTCTGAAGTACTTTACTGAAAATACAATTAAATAGAATTAAAAAGCTTTTCCATATCTCAGCTAGTTTATGGAGGTAAAAGGAGACAGGGTTTCACAGAATCATAAAAGTTGGAAAAGTCTTCTAAGATCATCCAGTCCAACCACCTACCTGCCGCCAGTATTGCCCACTAAACCACATCCCTTATTACCACATCCAAGCCTTTCCTGAACCCCTCCAAGGACGGTGACTCCACCACCTGCCTGGGCAGCCTGCCCAGCACCTGACTGCTCTTTTAGAGCAGAAGAAAGTTTTCCACACCCTACTTGAACTCTCTAAATCTTTTAGGATCTAAGACCTTCTCTAAGTCCTCAGACACACTAAACAAGGCACTTGTAACAGCTTCCTGTACCTGCAGCTGTTGTACAGGCAGGCATCTCATCTTCTTTCAAGCTTGGTGTACTCGACTGTAAAAGTGAAGACAATATTCAACAGTACTTATTTCACAGGAGGAGGTGTGGGGATGGTTTGCAAAGCAGTGATTCACTAACAGTGCTCTAAGCATAGAAATGATAGGAAATTGTTCTTTTATTATTGCTAACCCATTAATATAGTTTCACTATCTGCAGATGTAATGCAGCATGCAAAAACAGCTACCAATTAAGAGCACAAAAGGCAGGAAATCCTTTACATTAAATCCCCAGCAGCAGTTTCATGTCAGTGTAACTCAGAGCAGTATTAGTCTAATGTACAGAGTGAAGAATAATAGAAGAATTTTTTGAAGCTCAGAAGTAATCTTAAAGCCTGCATAATTTTTGAACAAGGAAGTCTCATATTTCCAAGAGGAGAGATCTATATGTGAAATTGCAATGAGGTGACTGATGATGGTTACCTTGGTGACATTTAAAATTCTACCACCGTGCTTTGCTGTCGGCGCTTTATAACACAATAAACTGCACAGGAAGGAAATCAACTCATTACTCAGAATGTGCTTCCAAGACAACAATGGCCTTCTCCACACCTAAAAGCTGTCACCTTACCTTTGAGAAGCTCAGCTTACCCAGCAAGAGTGACTTTGTGGGTGTAACAAACCAAAAAGCACTTGGGAGAATTCCAAAGCAGAGGCAGAGAGCCCAGTGAAGTGCTGTAAGTCACACGCTGGTCAGTTCTTGCTAACTGTATTGCACTAGGGCTGGAAGCAATATCAGTGCACAGTACAGCAGAGCACAGAGGACCAGATTCAGGTCTTCCTTTCAGAAGGGCAATCCTTGAAAAGAATTTAAAAAGAAGTCCAAATTTTTCCTGCAGTTTTAAAGTCCCAGTGGCCATTAGGGTAAGTCTTAATGGTACAGCCTTGTAACCAAGTTCATCTCCGCACTATTTTCTTAATATAAAATTGAAACCTGCAAAGAACAAAATAGTCCATTTTCCTATGGAATTAAAGGTCTCAACCAGAATTTCAGATACTGCCATTTCAGGAGTCCCTTGTGACGTGTGCAATTTAACATTTCTATTGTCTTAATTGCTACTTACGTCCATCTGGTTCTGGCCAAAGCCAAGCAGCTGGTTTTGGTGGAAGACATGAAAGTTCTGTACATTTCCAGCTATGCAGGCTTGAGTACAATGATCTGTTTATTGATTGCAACACACGTGTGGGTGGTTTAACTTAAAAAAACCTAATATTAGGCATCATGTGTTACAAAGTAAACTTTCACTTACAGGAAAGTTGTTTCTATAGTAACTAATGTTTTCCTACCAACACATTTCACATGAAGATTGCCATAGAAACAGAACTATGAGGATGTGTTCAGCAAAGAAGTTGTCAATGGCTTTTTCCTCAGCCCACTGCATCCTTCCCAACTGGGGATACATCCATTATTCTCCTAACAGGAGTGTGGAATATTTCCTGCCCACCTGAGAGCACGGTTTCCCCATATGGTTTCACATCCACATTTGCAGGAGGAACTGAAATGCTAGGTATTGGATCAGGTTATAAACACAGGCAAATTGGAGCTACTGTGCAGGGAGGTACAGTGGAACACCTTCATCTGCAGGAAAAAGGGAAACTACTACTCTACACCGAGAAGTTGGCTCCATCTATTCTCATCCTCCTATATCCTCAGGGTGTTGCTCATAATGTCAAAGGGAAACCAGCTCGTGCCAGGTCAAGGACTGAATCTCTTATGCTTTTGAGCACATATTTAGGCTTAAGCAGTCCCAAGGACAGTATGCAGACTCCCACTCACATCAAAGGCAAATCTGCAAAAAGATCACAGCTATAATCTGGCATTTACATAGTAGCGAGGATTTTAATTACTGTTTGTTCATTACCTTACCATTCATTCAGCAGTAGCCAAATGTAAACTTGCAGAACTATCACTGTTCCTGACCTTTCCCCTCTTCCCCATTATTTAATTTCTCACTACTCATCCCTGAGATGTTTCTCCCCCAACCTCTTCACCATTCAGTTCTCACCTCAGCCCTTCCCAGAGGTGTATTTTCATGTACATAAGCAGATCTTTCAGTCATTACCTTTTCTTTCTACTTAAATAAGAGCTACAACAGACAGTTCTCCAGACTTGGCCACAACGGTTCTTGCTAAGACAACTCACTTGTCAAATGTCAGGCAACTGCAGCACACATTGCTTCTGCAAGAGACTGCAACATGCAACTGGTGGCAAGCTGTGAAAAGCAGCTCTCTGCAGCAAAGCAGCTATTTGCACTTACTGCCCCTTAATGCCTGCATGTCTTCCAGCACGGAGAGCCGTGACCCCAGAGGGATTAAGATGGGCTGAAGATTGTTCCTCTTGGGCATTGTCTGCCAGGACTCAAACAACTCAGAAGGGCACCAGTGCACAGTTATCACAAAAAGACCCAACAGCAGCTTGGATTCAGAGCATCCAGCTGTGCCTCCCAGGTCCTGCTGAACTGCCCCAAGTGGGGCGATGCACAGCTCTCTCCCAGTGTGTGGCAATGTGTGCCCTGTTGTATATTAAAGTGGTTTACCAAATGTATAAACCTTCACTACAGCCCTCTGCCTTGTCTCCTCTTAGAAAGGACCCTTATTCTTCTAAGCAACTCTTGGCAAATGCTGTTTTGGCATTTGTTGGCCTGAATACTTAAGAGCAAAGCCACCCATTCAGAGGTGCCACAGAATCGCAGGGGTTGGAAGGGACTCCAGAGATCATCGAGTCCAACCCCCTGCTGAAGCAGGTTCCCTACACCAGGTCACACAAGGTGTCCAGGCAGGTCTTGAATATCTCCAGAGAAGGAGACTCCACAGGAAACACAAGAAGCTAGAGCTATCTAAACACACTCTGCTTGCACTTGAGATTGCCTGGCTTCAAATTCATCATCGCACCTAAAGTATCTACTGCAGGCCTGTCTTCTGACAGGATCCTCTTACACTTGGAATCTGACAAAAGAGCTCAAAATTATTTTATGGAGGAAAGCGTGATGATTTACTCAGTTGTCATTATGTATAGGTTTCCAAGTCAAAGCCACACGATGGGGGACTAAAGAAGAAAATGAAATCAATTTCCATGTAAACTCCGCTCCAGTTGTGTTCACAATGTTTTTCAGCTGGGAAAATCACCAGGCTTATAGAGAACAACTGCTCAAGCACTGTACAGTTCCTGTTCCCACAAGTACTTACAGTGCTGGTTTATATACTCTACTTTCAGCACGTTGGGATGCAGAGCTTACTGCTGGCATGTGCCAACTGCACTCTGTATAGGAAGAAATGAGAACCAGATTGTTATAACGGTCTGGTGTGGATGGACCCATTGTCCCCAGTGGAAGAGTCATTCCTGCTCCATCCTTTAGTTCTACACAGAAATGTGGCACTGCAGTTAGCTGGTAAGATCTGTTTTTATTCAGCTCTTTCTCCAAAATGCAGAAGCACCAGTTAGAATGTTTTCAATTATTTAGTAACTCTGCAAATGTGCAATGATATAATACTAAATATGATATCCTTCATACTTCACTGTCTTCCTCCACCTACTTCTCACTAAAGCCAGAAGTAGCAGGGATACAGCTCTTGGTATTCTGTGGTGTTACGGCAGAGTACAAATCCTGCTGCCTTTGAAGAGTAATTTTTAGGATGAACGATAGGGTTCCACTAGAGATCCAACAATATAGTCTGAAACAGTTATGAGGAAAGAAGTTAACTGGGGTAGACCATCATGGGGGTTTCAAAGGGATAACAGAAAGAAAATAAAAATCCAAGTTCTGAAGAATCCCTGGACAATTAAAAGAGCAGCTTTATATGGACAATTACATGGGCAGCAATTTGAGAACAACCTTAAAGTCCCTTTGCTGACAGGTTCTATGAGTTTTAGTGAATTTTGCTAATTCATGTAAACAGGTCTCACTCACCCCGGCCACTGTTTGCTTGCAAAGCCTTAGGCTGGAAACAGTTCGAGCCAAAAGCTGTTTGTCTATGCCTGGGAAATGCTAAATATACTTTGGATTACATGCAGACAAATAATTTTTACCAACTTTTTAGGTCAAGGTCCATCTCTTCATTTGTGCCTAAACAGCACCCAGTACAGAATGAAAATCTGCCCCAGACAGAAATCCCAGAGAGCTACTGCAGCTTAAACAAGGAGCTCATGAGCTGTAGTTTTGCCTCTCCAGCTACAGCTCTAAAGACACGTAACTCATTGTTTCCAACAGCCAGCTGCATTGCCTCATCTCAGGGCCAGCACAGGTCTGTGTAGGTTCCCCAAGACCTGAGTTTAGAGAGTGACTAAAGACCAGTGCTGGGAAGCAGAAAGACGAGCCCAGACCAAAACCATCTAAACCTCGTGCATTTATACACCAAAATACATCCCTCACTAGCACAGACAGAAAATAAGTCTCACTAAAATTAGTTAGCTCCTACATCATCATATTGCCCCGTACTTCTATACTGCACCTTTTGAAAAATATGCATTTTTTTGTGATCACAGTTAGCTCGTGTTTCTGTGTGCAGCCTCCTGATGAAGATTATTTCTATTATTCAGACATATTATATTATTCAGTGAGTTGAGGAACAATTCATAAGTCAAGAACTATGAGTGGAACACCTCACTAACAACCTTGCCTTGCTTTTCATCACAAAAGACAAGAAATGGAGAACAAGACCAAAAAGCTGCTCATTCCTTTTTGTCATCCCCAAGAACAGGATGACAGTCCCTCACCTAACACTTCCTAGGAGGCTCAGGATTATTTCATTCAGTCCTAAAAAAAATACTATATAGAACTAACTAACTTGGAATTACAGCTAGGACCGATTCCTCTTCTCCTTTTTACCCCATCTCACCAAGGACAGTGTTTCAGTATGCCAGCAGAGGACAGAAATCCACTCCCAAAGTACAGCCAACAGGAGTAGGAATTACAGCCATCATGAAATGCACATTTGTATTTTAATTACTTATGCAGAAGCATTAGCTTTTCCAAGGATTGTTATTTTGGCATCCAAGGTCATGTTAATGAATAACATCAATAGAAATGAGTAACTGGGCACAGGTTTGAATGCACCAAGTATTCAAATGTGCTTGAGTACATTTCCCAGCAGAGGTTATATCGGCTGTTTAACTTAATCACTACTGACCGGAGTGTAGCTGTTAAAATAAGGTGATTAGGAGCTGCGTTATTACCTGTATCTCTTTACATTCACCAGCTAAATCCAATTCTCAGTTACAGTGCTTACAATCTGCATTCAGTCACTGAGATCCAACAGCAAAACAGAGCATTCCATTCATTGAGCTCAGCTATTCTAACGTCTGGCTATAGTGGATGAGAGTGATCAGGAGGCAAGCCCTGTGTTCATAGCACCTGGAGGACAGTCTGATCCTATTTTTGGATCATTTTAATCAAGAAAATCGCTAGTAAGATTCCAAACATTTTCAAATTCTTCATAACCCTCCCTCCAGATGGACTCCATCCACACCGTGTCATTCCTAGGGGGCTGCCATTGTAACACAAATTGTTCTGCTGTTCACATGCCTGGTTTTGCTTAGAAGGAAATGCATACCCTGGGGACAAGGCTTTTCTCTTTTCCTGAAAATCAAACTATCACACTCTCATACCTTGCACGGTAGACATATTTAAACCCCTCTGTTTACTGCTCACATAAAATCTCCAGGCCCAGCCTCAGCCCCATCTAATTATCTGGTCAGTCATCTCCTATACATCAGAGCAGGCTAATAATTCCAGTGTTTCAGAGTTATTCCAAGCTGATGAAGGATTTAGGGTGCAGTTGTGTTTCAGAAGTTGACAGCTTCTGAAGCTGTCAGTGATTTGCACTGCTCATTAAATCAGGGAAATGAGTTGGAGTGATTATAGCTCTCTGGGTCCTTAACTAGGCAACAATCAGGGCTTTTAGAAACTCATTTAAAAGCACAGAAGATGCCCACGGCGGGGGGAAGGGTTACGGGGAGTGGAGCTGGGGAACGGATAGGACAGTTTCCTCAAGCGATGAAGCAGTAATGAAAAGGGAAAATAAATCCACCTTCTCAAAATGCACAGAAATCCCTCAGAAGGGGCTCCTTCACTGCACCTCACTGCAGCTGCTGCCTGCAAATTGCTGGAAGCAAATCCAGTAGCAAAATTAGCTTTTTCAAATGGCAAAAACAGAAGGTGGCAAACTGCGGCAGATTCCCAGGCTCACGTGCCAACAAAATATCTTTATATATATATATATATCTTACAGTATTTTATATATATATATATATATAT